TGTGAAATGCAGAAGCGCAGTCGTGTGCCAGTGGCCCAGGCCACCGCAGAGCTCCTGAGCAGCAGCGCGTGCGTCGGCGCCGACTGCCTGATGAAGCTGCTGGGCAACTACTGCCGCAACCTGGACATCAAGACGGCCATCACGGTGGGCGTGGTGGGTGAGTGACGCCCCAGGCTCTTGAGCCCTTCGCTTCGACACGCCAACACATTCCGCAGAGGCCGGGTCGGGCGGAGAATCGCTGACCAGTTACTGCTTCTCAGAGTCCTCCTGCCCAAGAAAAACTAAATCCACCTTGTCTTACTGGCAGGTCCTTCATCACCAGTAGCACACGGTCACTGAGCCCTGTTCAATATTCCAGATTTTTTTCAGTAATTTAGAATGGAAACTGCAGTAATTCACTCCAGAGCTGTGGTCAGCAGCGGAAGACAGATGACCGGTCCGAGTGGTCAGCAGGGCAGGACAGCAAGCAGCCCAGTTCCCAGGGGAGTCTGGGGGTCCTGTGGCTTGTAGTCCGTCTCCTCTCCCGCTCGGGTTCCTGGCCCGATTGCTGGTCTGTCTGGGGTCGAGTGTCGCCTGTCCTCAGGGAAGGCTGGGAGTCTGGGAGTCGGTACAGTGGCTCCCTACAGTCCGCGGTTTCCTGCGGTAAAGTCACACAGGAGCACAGCCCGGGGGGGGGGCTGGTGAATCGCAGGGGGGCCGCGGGAGAACACCCCGCACAAACGCGTCGGGCGGGGAGCGCGCCCCTCGGGCTCTGGGCTGAAGCACCTCCTCTCCCCTCTCCCGCCCCCAGGCTTCCCCAACGTCGGGAAGAGCAGTCTGATCAACAGTCTGAAACGGGCTCGAGCGTGCAGCGTGGGGGCCACGCCCGGGGTCACCAGGTAAGGCCGCGCTCCGCCGACGGCTCGGCCCGGCGGTACCTGCGCTCACACCGCGGGCACTGGTGTCCGCCGGCCGCAGCTGCAGCTCCGGGTTCACTGACCTGCTCCCCTGCGTGGAAGTGGCAGCAAGGCTGTTTGTACTGTTTGAAACCCAAGGAGCGGCATGGAGGCCGTGTCTCCCCGTGTCTATGTGGGTTTCCTCTCAGGTGCTCCTTTTTCCTCCCCCAGTCCAGAGACATACTGGGAGGTTAATTGGCGTCTGGGAAGTTGGCCCAGGTGTGCATGTCTGTGTGTCCTGCAGTGGAGAAGCGTCCTGTCCAGGGCGCGCCCTGCCTTGTGCCCGTTGCTTGCTGGGATAGGCTCTGGCTCCCCTGCCACCCTGAATTGGAAGAAGAAGCGGTTGGAAAATGGAGGCATGGATTGATGATTTTAGCCTTCGGCAGTACAATCGGGGCGACCGTAAGCATTGCGAAACGGGACCGCGCTGCTATGCGGTTTCTGTCCTGATCCGTGTTCCGTGCGGGAGCAGGTGCCTGCAGGAGGTGCACCTGGACAAGCACATCAAGCTGCTGGACTGCCCGGGCATCGTCATGGCAACCTCGCTGACGGACGCCGCGATGGTCCTGCGGAACTGCGTGAAGATCGAGCAGCTGGTCGACCCCGTCGCGCCCGTGGAGGCCATCCTGAGGCGCTGCAGCAAGCAGCAGGTGAGTCATGTGACCGCGGAGAACACGCAGACTCCACACAGACAGGCGAGTCACGTGGTTGTAGACCGGTCTGCTCCTCCTCCTTTGTGCCTCTAGGTCTTTGCTGGCTGGCCTCGTCCCTCAGTACGTGACGCTGCACTGATAAAATACAAACAGCGCAGTTAGGAGGCATCCGCAACAGACGGCACTTTTCATCCCAGCTTTCCAGCATTGGAACTGCAGTCATAACACATTCTGTGTGCAGAGAGACAGAGCAGCGCTGGTCACCCAGACCATTAGAAAATGGATGGCAGCTCTTTGTTTTTGTGTTGAGTTTCCTCTGCTCTTTGACTCCCTCGTTCCTGACACCCTTGTGCCTTGGCCCTGGCATACCGATGTTGAGCGTGCAGGAGTGGAGTGGAGTCGGGAGGCGTTGCTTTGCGCGCAGAGTCTCGGGTGCGTGGAGCGAGGGGCTCTCTCAAGCCGGCTCCCTTTCCTCCCTTCCTGTGCCCCCAGATCATGCAGCACTACGGCATTCCCGACTTCCGCAGCACGCTGGAGTTCCTGGCCCTGCTGGCTCGCAGGCAGGGCAAGCTGAGGAAGGGGGGGCTGCCCGACCACGACAAGGCGGCCAAGAGCATCCTCCTGGACTGGACAGGGTGAGGCGGCAGGACACTCGCTGGGGTTTTACTGCGGCTCAACTCAGCGGGGAGGGGCCTGCGCCTGGCACGCCCTCGGTGGGGAGGGGCCTGCGCCTGGCACGCCCT